GCGGAGAAAATTTATCAATTAATGAAGGGTCTCAATTGCCAACGGTTTAATTCGCGCTTTTACACAAAATCTCATTGTATTTGTCCAAATATCTTATTGTTATTCCGTTGGTCTGTTTAGTTTTGTTATTTTATTATTGTAGATTTTCCTTCAATCTTTAATAAGATTGAACGAATTCCCTGTAGCCCCCCTTCTCACATTTAAGCGTCCTTCGTAAGCTCTTCCGTGTTTTCGCAGTGTCACCTCCGTACTAATGCGGGTACTTTAAATTTATATTTTATTCACTGAAAGAAATATGTGTTAGACACCACACAAAATTATTCTCATGCGTCACATGCATTTATGAATATGAATTTAAGCATGGAATAAACACGACTGTATTTCAAAGAATTCAAAGAAAACTATCCGTGCTATTCGCAGATTTTCCAGAGATAGAAAAGAGAAATTTTCTCGAGCGTTTAGCAAAAAGTGTAAAGCACATCTTTATTAAATTCGAAGAACTTATTGACAAGTAGGTTCTCTCTTAGAATGTAATTCTTCTTATTATATAATTGTTATTACGATTCTTATTATTCTATCATTGTCTAACACTTTTTGCGAGCGTATTGATTAAAATAATTTCTTCTCCCTCTATGTATTTAAGTTTAAAAAAATTTTTTTTAATTTTAAATGTATACATAATATGTGCAAAAATTTCGTATTATCGTGGAACAAGATACTCCCGAATGTTAATAATTAATCACGTCAACAGTAAATTCATTTCGATCAATCTTTTACGTTCAAATTCTTGTAATTATTACATATAATTACAAGATATTATATTCATGTAGTTATTATATATAATTTTGAACGTAATAATATAATAATATGCCTTTATATGTGAAATAATAGAGCAGACAACATATTAAATTATATCAAAAAACAAGAAAAAATATAATTAAAAGGAATAAATTATAGTTAAAACAGAAATTCAACATTCATCATTTTGCGACATCTCTAGTAATATAGAAATTCTCGAGTCTCTAGAAATTTTCTATCCGAGCCAGTAAATTTTATAATAATAAATATATTTAAAAAATTCTATGATAGGTAAGATATTGCTGTAAGAATAATCGATCCATCAGAGTGCAGCGACAAAATCAAATAACACGACTCACCGATAGAAATGAAGAGATTATATATTTTATGTATCTCTCAATGCGAAATCTATTCTTATGATAAGTAATAAGTATATTATTAATTGTTTTTTACCTATATCGTTGTACTCAGGTCACGATCGTCCTTCCTCAGATCCCGCTTGTCCTTCGACGAACCGCGGTCAATCTCCGTCGCCTCCGTCTCGACGACCTCGGACTTTAAGCTCTGATTAACGGATGTAGGCTCGGTGAGAATTCGGTGCGTCTCGATTGGGCTTTGGCCGAACGCGCGCACTTACTGCAGGGTAAACCCGGTATATACGCCGCACCTATAAAAAACTTAATTTTTCAGATATTATCGATTAAGTTTAAGTTAAATGAACTATGCCAGTAAAAACTTTGTACTGTTTACTATTATAAAAAAAATATTAGGAATCCAAATTATTTATTTTTTATATTTAAAAAAATATTTCTATAAACCCTTGCATTTTTGCCTTATAAAAATAGGGGTGGGTTATACGGCTACTCATGAGTGAGATAAATGACTTGAAAAATACACAAATAATCTAAATAATAATAGTGAATAACACGTGAATTGACAACGTATTTGCATTTACTCATTAATAAATAAATA